AATTTAAACTGCCAAACTTGAGACCCACAGTGCCTCACCCGATGGGTGGTGGAGCAATTTTAGGGAGGGATTTGGCTGCTCGGAGAGGGGCCCCAGCCTGCCCAGATTGTAATTTATTATTTAAAAACATCAAATATTGTTTAAATTTATTTTAGCCCAAGTTTGTTTTGTTCAAACTTTAACTCTTCACTCAAGTCTATTAACTCAATTTTCAAATTAGCCAACTTTGGTTACATAAGTTTAGTATATGCACGAGTCTATTTTAATTACGATGAAGATAAAGTCGGGGATTTCATAGAGGGCCCATTTGGGTCAGATTAAAATTTGATTTTAATTTAAGTCAAAGTCAAACAATCAATATCAACCACACATTTTATAGATCTCACACCTTTTCAACCACACATTTCAAAAACTTCTATCACAATCTATTAAAAATCTAATTTTAATCCCCACCAAACACCCTCGTAATTGGCATGCATATAATAAAAGAAATGCTCAAGTTCCAAAAATGAATTTAAATAATGATCTATGTTGAATTTGTACTAGAATGTTTAATTTGTTTACCGTATGTGCATATAATATTTTGCTAGTAAAGACATATTCATATTTTGTTCTGAAAATCCAACCACTAACATGTGATTGTGAAGGAAGCACCATCGACTTAGAAGACAAAATTCCATATTACTATGTTCTCTATTTAGCCCATATTTGATTCATATGGAAAAGTGAATTAAAATATAAGTTAAAGTTTGCTATTTTTATCAAAATATGATAAAAATCTAATTTTTATTTCAATCAAATATTAAATTAATTTTGTTATTTCTAGATTTTTTCCAAAATCATTTCCATAATCAAGAAGTAGTTGGAGCGCTCCATGAATTAAGCTACTTGTACATTCAATTTGTACACTTTGATTGACATTCCATAATACATAAAAATAGAGGTCACTAATTATTTTAAGTACTGTTAAAATCAATGGCAAAATCTTGTGTCACATTATGGAATGTAAACAAAACTGTCAGCCAATATATAAGTATAATAAAATTGGTGCTCCATATACCATCGGAAAGCTCGTGTCAATTAAAATATGGGTATTTGGTATAATTAAATTAATTTGCCTATTTTGCGCAAATTGTTCATATCTTTTTACTTTTAATTTTCAAAATACATTTTTTTCTATCTTATTTTCAATCACGTATTATTCAATAAAATAATATTACACGCAAACTCAAAACTTTTTCTTATTTTTTAACCATGCATTCTCATCATATCACTATTTTAAAATGTATTATTTGCAAAAAAAGGGGCTCAAACATGCTCTGAATTAATGCATTTCACCCTTAGATCGAGCAAACATTGCGCAAATAGTCCTTGGTCATTTCTTCCACTAAAGACTTGTTAAATAATGAATTTATCCCCATCTTTAAATAAACAAAAAGATAAAAATAAAGATAAAAAGGGAAATAATTATAGCCAGAATCTCATTTTTCTCAAAAAGTGTAAACGAATCCTAATTAAAATAATTTTAAAAAAGAAAGAAAAATTAAAAAAAAAAAAAAAATCTTCTCTAACCAACCCTACTTGCCCATGCCCAAACACTTGCCACCACTACGACCTTATACATACATGATAACAGTGTCAAAAGTATAAGATTTGAGAACCACTCCAATTTTGCCCGGGTGCTTGCTTGTCTAAACTTTTTACCTATTGAATTCTGAATAATACGTGATTAAAAGTAGTAAAATCCCGAATCTTACAAAATGTCTAAATAAAAATAAAGTTTAGCCCATGTTTGACAATTATTAAAAATAGATTTTTGAAGAAAATGAGTTTTGGAATAATAATTTTTTGAAGGATGTGTGGTTAAAAAATATGAGAAATTTTGAGTTTATATGCAGAATATTTTATTGTCAGAATGTGTGGTTGAAAATGAGTTTGAGAAAAAAATAAAAAAACTGTGTAAAAATGGTTGTCGAACAGGGGCTTGATTAACTTATAAGTAATTGTAAACTTGAAAACATGCTCTAAATTTAGGGAAAATTGTAGCAACAGTCCCTAACCTTTTATTTTTCGCAAATTTTACTCTAATTTTCACTTGTGTCACCCACAGTCCCAAAACTTTTAAAAATATACACTTAGAGTCCAAATAGATGGCAAGCGTTAGTTGGCCATAAAAGCCAAAATTTGATCATTTTTGACCAAATTAAAATGGTAAAATTGTAACTTTTCAATTATCACATTAAATAAATAAATAAATAAATAATCATAAAAAACAAATGCCAGCACACACCCCTCCCTTCTTTTCTGACGCCAACCTGAAAATCAGCCATAAATAGCGCCACCCAACGTTAGCACCAACTCTGGTGCCTTATCTCACTTTCATTCATCAACCCCCCAGTGTCGATCCCCAGGGTCAGCCCCTCGAACCCAAGAAGATCCTTCCAATTTTCCCATCTCAGATCTCGATTTCTTTGCCTTTTCATTTGATTATTCTATTTGGGTTTTGAATTTTATAGTAAGTTACAATCTAAACTTCTTCGGCAAGATGTTTAGGGGAAGAAAGAAAGTGTGGTGGTGGACATAATGTTTTGGGAAAGAAGGAGAGTCGGGTGGTTGTGACTGTTTTGGGCGACGACGGGCGGTGGACTGATTTTGGAGAGGAAGGAGAGTCGGGTGGTGGTTGTTCACTTGAAAATATACCGCAAGTGCACGGGTCGCGTACAAGTAATAAAGTGGACTTTTTGAGTCCGGGTTATCGATTCCTCGAGAAATGTTACTTTAAATTACATGACTTTAATAAATTTAAT